TTCACCATAACAGCATATTGTATTGGTCGATCGCTGCAGGCACAAACTTAGACGGTGGGGACAGGTAGTGCCATCTGGCATGCGAAACGAGCATTCAGGCAAGTTCGGGCAAACGCATACGTCACACGTAGAAGCGCACTCAGTTGAGTTTCAATATTGTGGTATTTTGCTATTTAAAATTTTTTTACGAATTTGTCTACCACTTAGGCACTTACAAGAGTGCCTCAGGAATATAAAAGCACCAGGACGCAGCGGAAATGCACTGAGGGCACTTTAGGAATAGACTAATTGACCTAAGGATCAGGAGGGAAGGCCAAATCTAGTGTACTGAAAGAAGGAGATGCTGTAATGCACATGTCTTGATATGGTACTTGGTTTTAAACTGAAATCGTTGCACACAATTATAAAATGATTGCCTCCATCCATAAACAGAGTCCTGAAAAATAATTCTTCTTTTAAATAACAGATTCTTTTTTTAATAACAGATTTGGTAGGAGGCAAAAAAAAATTCAAGCAATCAAGCTATTTTTTACATAAGTTTGAGCAACAGTAAGGCATGCTAAAGAACATATTTATGACCAGGGCCAAGGCATGTGGATTCAAGTTTCATGTGGTGGAGCTGTATGAATTATGTGTGAGTGATTGCATATTGCGATGAGAGCTTGCAGTTTTTGCCACGTAAAAGACCATTATCACTCGATAAAGAGGTTTCTGTTACCACCATCATGCAGTACAGAAATGAAGAGGATTACAGGACAAATCACTTTCAACAATAATGACAAAACTGGAAAATTTGATTTTTATAACTGAGTATTATTAAATCTGGACTCGGAAACAAAATAAGAAAAGACAGACACATTTGCATCACTTTGCATATGCTACGGTAAGCCAGCGACGCTAAGTTATGTCAAACAATGCTAGCCTTGGTAAAAAACACTGAGCTTTAATATTAGGGGCCAAGCTTCTAAAGCCGTAAGTTGGTCTTTCTGCTGTGACTGGTTTGTAACCACCTAGTTTATAGATGGCTCAACTGATGGTGCTAGTCTGACAGACAGACAGCCAAACAGACAGAGGACGAATTGATTGACAGACAGGCGGACGTATTCACGGTTTTATCGATAAAACCCTCCGAAGCTTCGCCCGACTCCTTATAATTCACTCTGTGGATACGCTGTGATCTTTTATCAATATACATAAATAGCCATAAAATAATTTGAGCAGGCAGGAAAAATTCAGAAATTTGTGAAGAAATTTTAATTCGGAAGGACATCTCCAGCCTTGGAGATACAAAAGACTCTCAGTAAATGGAAATATGTTAAATAAAACTGCTGCCTAAACAGAACAAGTGCTTCTGGCAAGATTGCTTTTGTGCTTGTATTGTGCACCCTCTCGTTGATCTCTCGCCAAACGGAACTTTCCTGGTTCCTTCAGGTTCCGTTTATGTGAGCCTACTGTAGAATAAATCATTGGCTGCAAAAACCCATATTTTTTGTGAGGCTTCAGACTTCGAAATTGCAGGCTATCCTAATAAATTCACTGATATCACCTTGGCTTACAAAATGCCACCTTTAACAAATACAGGAACTCATTTAAGAAGCTGTTGCCAGGAAGTGCACAACAATCGTGGCTGCAACCATACCAGTGATTGTGATAATGGTAGTGAGACATTGCTGCACACAATGCCCTCTCTCTCATATTTCTTGATGGGGGCCTGTTTTTGGCACTTGTTACACTTTAGTGCATCATTCTGTTGAAAGTGGTTTGTCATTACGGAATTTCCAAACAAACTTTTGTACAAGCCATCTTTTGGGGTGCCAGTATTCTACCATTGTACCAGTATGTCGCTGATGATTGTTTGTTACATGTGATTTTATTTTGCTTTGGGGCAAGGGAAATTTAGATATCTGATGGATCGGATCATTATACAGATACTATATAGCTATATCTAAGTGGATCACACTGTATTCAGTAGACATGTAATACTTGTAAAAAGTAAGGAACTTGCGTTGATTTTTGGGACATGTTTAATGGGACATAATCACTAGGAAGCAGTCTGACGCTAAGGTCATAATGATGGAAGAATTCTGCTGTCATTACATTATTCTGGAGTAAAAGCAAGCTGTTTGTTCCTGGTGATCAACCTTGCCTGTTCTACGAGTCCTGTTATTGTAGATGCCAAGCATACCCAGCCAAATACGCACATGCTTACATGCAAAGTTTTCAAGCTTGCATGCTCTTGAGTTAGTGTTAATTGTCACAGGGCATGTTCTGCATTCTGAGCAGCACCCAGATGACCACATTTACTGTGTAACACAACCACTTTAGATTTCAGATCATTGGTGAAAAATGAGAGAGCATTGGTCCCCAAGGTTTTTCAGCACTTTGGATGAAGCATGGAATTTCGACTGCACTTTGTTTTATGGAGTGAAAAATTCTATGGCATACAAATGAAGTTCTAATGCTGTGATGAGCGATCATCTGTGCTTGTAGATAGTTGGAAGAGCTAATTATCAACATTGCCCATGCAGTGAATTGTTCTTTTATTTTAGCTTGTAGTTGTTACCTGTATTATAAAAAACCTGGTAAGTGGATCATTATCCAATTCAATTAGACACTCATGCTTTTTCAATTCTAGGATTGGGAGTACTATTGTTGCATTTAATAAGCACATTTTAAACATGTGGAATGCTTTTTTTTTTAATTAGGTGTACTGGTTCTTGATCTATGTAAGATTTGTTGTAGATTATCATATTTATCCTCATAATAGGCACACTCGCATCGCATGATAGGCGCCCCTACAAGTTTGGTCGCGAGAAATGAGTTTTATTTTTTTTATTTCCATGCGAGGAAAAATGAAAAAAAAAAAACAACTATTGGTGTATCCCTTCGTCATAGGAATCGGTAAAACACGAAAGTAAAATGAGTCCTTACAGAAGTAGTTTAGTGTTTCTTGTGCGTTGATATAAGAGAGCTTGTCCAATGTCCCTAGATGTTTGACTGCTATTGCACCTCTTAACGGGGGTGCATCAAGGTCGATCCTTAGTCATACATGTCTATTCCGACGACTGACGTCTATTATTAATGAATAAACAAAACCTTGTGGTAATAGATGCTTGTGGTAGCTGTAGCAGTCATACAGTGAGCGCAAAACCATAAAAAGCGATGTGACAGCCAGAAGAGCGTGACTAATTGGACGTTGAGCTTGGGATAAGGCAGCTAAGGTCACCTAATCGCGAAATGTTGCAGTCATTGAGCACCACTGCCCGACCGGAGGGAAACACTACCTGCGTTGTGTCATCCCCTTGGCCGGCCACAATTATTCGCAGGGCGAGCCTAAAATACAGAGGGAAAGGCACGCGAAACAGGAAGATTTTGCAGAGAGCTTGTTTTGGGTATTGGTGGATGCTATGAGCGACGTCGACGTTTTATGAAGCTTGGGGTAAAGTCGCCACCTGGGAGTGTGGTATGGCGTTTACAAAATCGCACTTGTGTTATTGGAAAAGCACCAAATGGGACGGATGCTTAGATATGAGGTGTTTCTGGAATTAATCGCTGATGTCACGGTTATGATGCATTACTGCAGTTTACAAAGAACGCAGTTAAAGGTCAGTGGTAGATAAACCTTGACAATGGCAGCATTGTCAAGGTCTTGTCACCAGCAGGTTCAGAGCAGTTTTGGCAACCAAGTTCACAGACTTAAGAAAGCAGGCTTTCCTGATCAATTGCTCTCAGGCATCTCAGAGTCGCAGAGTCACTTATGAATGAATTGAAGCAGGGAAGGAATGCACAGAACGCATCTCAGGATGAGGCAGAACCAAAAGTGTCTACCATTCCTGATGTGCACAAACTTTCGCGTCTGAATAAAAAGAATCGTTGAAAAAACTAGGGTAAAGGTTGTCTTCACGGCAAAAAACAAGCTGGGCTCTCTATGTAAAACAGTTAACTACGAAGGACCATCAAGTGTCGGGTGCAATAAGAAGTATGCAAAAATGTTCGTAGGCATTGCAAGCAAAATAGGCATTGTGTATCTCATTTATTTATCATGTGGCCGATGCTGCAATTGTCAGATGGGGCGCTGTCTCAACGATCGCCTTAGGAAGCACGGAAATCTTATGCGTGGATCAGTGGGCAGCCAATTGGCAAGTCATTGTGCGAAATGTGGGTGCTACCCGAAGTTTGATGAATGCCAAGTAATGGCAAGATGTAAGGACAAGAGGGTACGTGAAATACATGAAGTGTTTTTGATTCGCAAGGCAGGAACTGAGTGTGCAAGTGCCCCATTTGTCAATCTGTTGAACAATGAATGCAAGTATCTTTTCTGGTTAATTTTCATTTCAAGACGGGAATAAGAGGGTCTGGAGCATGCGTCGTCATTTGTTTCTTTTTTCTGTGTGTCATCTCCTTGCCCTCTTGACTCTGTATATAGTATACCCCCGCAATCTGTGCTTATAATAAGATGGTTGTAAGTGCGCGCTTTGTCCTATCTGTCTTCTTTCTGAAACATTTCCTGTGCACTAAAAAAGCATATTTCTTTCAAAAATGCAATACCAACCAACCCAAGTAGCCACTCTTTTGCAATATTGTTTCAACTGTAGTGCTGATGTATTTGTGACGTCAGCAATGCATACCTTGTCTTGTGCGGTTGTCGGAAATAAAATGATTGCGAATTCTACCCCACGTAATAGACGTACTTCGAACTTGGATCCGGATTTTCTGGAGAAAAAGTGTGCCTATTATGCTAGTAAATATGGTAGTGCAATAAAATAAACTCTGAGTGGCTGTGGTCACAGATATAACCACGTCATACACCTGGTTTCATTTTATGTTTCGAAATGAATTATTCGTGCGGAGTAAATATTTTAAATGGCTAGCAGCCTTTCACGTCTATGAAATTGGAAGCAGATGGCTTTTCTGCTGAGGGTACTACTTGAAGTGTCTTGTGAAACATTCATTACACACTTTTGCTGCCCTTATTACAAAATGACTTTTTATTTCCGCAGGCTGAGGCTCTTGCTCGACGGGTGAAGACGTCAGCTATTGAAAGTGTCGGTGAAGTTGCATGGCTGCCTGAAAAAAGCCCTCTTCGAGAAAAGGTGTGGTTTTTTTCATGGTTATAAAATGACGAAAACAAACTGGTATGCCTGCAGTAAGTTTTTGGGCTAAATCGCTCAGAATTTTTTCAAATAGTTTCATAGAGAAGGCTATTGTGAGATCACAAGAAGGGTTGCATGCGCTGCAATTGTCTACCGCCGCCGGTGTTTGTAACCACTTTTGCCCAAAATAAGAACACACAATGGGCTTAAAACCCAGGTCCGCTGCATGCCAGCCCAGTACTCTACCAGGGAGCCACGCTGGTGCTTAAAATTTTATTGCAGACTGACCCTAGGCAGGATTTTCGTCAGGAAAGGAGTCTCGTTAATATGAGTAATAAACCGTTTTATAACAGCAAAGGAATAACAAGCTGTCATATAATGTGAATTGGGTAACGAGTCAATCGTCGAATGCTCCTACCCATTACAAAAGCCTGAGCCATCTGAGCCATCTGAGCCATAATTCTTCATTGTCATTAGCCACAGTATCAAAAAATTGCATGTGTGTAGCGGGCACCACGCTTTTCCAAAGAAGGATGAAAAATGGCATGGTGAGTGCTTCCCTACTACATGAAAATTGTGATGATTTATGGCATAGTGGGTACACTGCAAGTGTTCATATAGCTGTTACCCAAAGAATGCTTAGAAAAGAAGGCCGTTTTTCCAGCTTTTGTTGTGACTGTGCTGAGAGCTCCACACAGGCCTGGCACTTTTTGATTTAATAACAGCCTTGTGCACCATTAATATAAAGCAAGATCTATGTGCCAGGGTACACTAAACAGGGGTGAGACACCTGCACATATTGCGCGTTTTTGATACATTTCTGTTTTCTTGCACCAAGCTGCTCCAAAATTATAAAAACCATGAAAGTTGCATCAGACTACTCAAAACAGCCTCCAAAGCTAAAATTTTGGTGCCGACCTCAGCTTCAGTAGAAAAAAAGGGCCAAGTTGACTAATAATACGCAATTAAGCATGTTTATTTTCCTTTAGTTGGCACATTTCTGATGACGAAAGCTCCCATGGTGCCGTCATAATCTCCTCTAAACTGTTGTAAATATGCGTGGCCCCGCAAAGATGTGCTGCCGTGCATCGGGTGTGCTGCTTCTACAAGCTAGGCTGGGTGTTCTAGTGCCGCTGTTGCCTGGCAAAAACCACCGAGTCGGGTGGCAAGCGTTGCAGGGTTGACTATTGGTTCTTTGTAGTGCTAAGCATGTTCTTCTGGTCTCTGCAGTTTTCCTGTCGTCGCTGCTGCGTGCGGTCACCTACACAAGCGTTCGCCGTCAGCGAGTAACTGTAAACACGGAGTCATTTCCTTGCATCCGACGTGTCTCCTAGATGCTCTGGCGCATACACACTGGTTGTTTAAATAGATCCTGTGAGCGACAGAATACATGTAACCCATTCCCAGTTTACGCCCATTAGCTACTAATATATTCAGACAAGCCAGTTCTCATTGCGTTTTGCATTTAAAAAAGTCATCGCATATGAAATGCACCCATTGGTTTCTACGGGTAGAGAGAAACACTTGGCTATTTGTGAAGCCATGGTGACAGAATGCGCGCTCAAACCAATGCAAAAGATATTAGCAGGCCTCTTGGTGCTTTATTCGGGACTCGTGAAGCGGTGGCAATCATATGGCACAGATGAATGATGATTTGCTACTGCTCCGTTTCGTAATCAAAACTTGCAACAAGCACTTTAAGAGGCATCGCTGCGTGCTGGCTCCCGGCTACACGAGCTTGTTGGCCTAGCTTTTTGTTCTACCGGTGTTTCGGTCTGCAGCCGTTTCGCAGTGTGACTAACGATCTTGGCTTTATTTTTTTCCAATTTGCTTACAATAAAACTGGCCTCTGTTTGTTTGGCGGTTCATTTGCGTAGACACTAATTTTATACCTGCGCTGCGTGATTTGCGAAGCGGTGCGGGCGACAATCGCAAGTCGATGTATTACCGGGAGTTTTGCGTTGACAGTGACGACCTACTATGTTAAAGAAAATAGAACAGGCCAGCGTGGGCCGTATTAATAATGTGTGGTTGCTTGAGTGGATTGGCATTATCAGTACCATTAGCTTATCACTTAGTGCCATACACATGCGTTTTACGAGATAGTTTGTCCGTGCAGCAGTCTTGAAGGTGGTTCCGCATGAGGTGGCCGCAAACAGCGGTGCAGCGCGCTTTTGTTGTCTGTTAAAAGCTTGCAGTACACCTCACACTATCATGTCAGGCTTTTCTTTGAATGAAGGCCGACTGTTAAGTCTCTATGATTCTCTTGCCGTAACAATTTATGAGTTTTTTTTTGAGTGTGATGTGTTTTTTTAAATGTTTCCTGGGAGCCTAGTTTTCAACAAAACCTTTTTAAAATACTTTTTCAAACTTCAAGTATTAAAATATGTTTCTTATGACTGCTAGATAGGTCACGTGGTATACAAAAAGGTACTGCAGTTCACATCTGGCGATAATTTGTTCAAAAAGTTCCTTCAAAATCTGTTTCAGTGGTATGTGCAATTTTAGCCAATTGAAATAGGAACTGGTGCCCCCATGTTGCTAAAAGTTTGTCTTTTCAAGCTCCCAGGACGACATGATAAATGCCACTAACTGCTCCAAAGCAGGGTTCTTCTCCAAAAATGAAACTTTGCTGTTTGAAAACTTGCTCCCAATTCAGACTCTCTTACCCCTGACAAAGTTAACAGGCTTCTGTCAGTGAACTCTACATTATGAGGCCAGTGTACAACATAAGTGCAGCCTTTAAACCTAAAACTTCAGACCCCTCCATTCGGTGAAAGTGGTGGACGAGCAGAGCTGACGAGCACTACTGTTGTCACTACATGTTTCCCCTGCGGTGCCTCAAGCTGGCTTAGCTGACGAGACAAGTACCATATGCAAGAAAGCTCCATTTGCTTTTGATATAGGCACACCTGTGATTGATTGACAGGATGGCGTCACAAGTTTTGGTTATCTATATATGTGGTGTCATGTGGATATCGTTATGTGACATCATTGTTCTCTCTTCAAGTGATCTTCTGATTTTAATTACCTGTAGAACTATTCTTTCCTGAACAGTGTGGTGTACATTTAACTGCTCATTAATTATGTCCCATATATTAGATGCATGCATCTCTTGGCGCAGCGGGTGATCAAAATTATTGCAGAACAACTCGAGAAATAGGCAAAGTTGGAATGAGCACTACATAATCTAAAGATCGGACAGCTGGTCTTGAATACTAAAACATTCAGTATACTCTACTTGAAAGCTTTCACTGCGTTCACATCTTTTTATGGCAACTTAACTCATTGTCTTAAAAGTTGTGGTATAAAAACAAAAGTCATTCTGCAAGAACACGAGAGTAAAACTCTTGCATAACTTAAACAGTATGTAGTCTCTGCATTCTGGTTTGCACTCTCCCAGGAAAACAGGACTGCTCTGAAGTGGGAAACATCTTTCAGTAAAGTTGTCTTCAAAATGAGAGAGTTTATGATTTTGACAAAAAGATGCTTTCTGCAATTTTGGTGTACAAATCCTCTCACTCTCACCAAATATGCTTCCATAAGGTGCTAACACGTTTCCTTTTGGCTGTGCAGCTGACCAGTTTGGATTTCCAGGTGGGCTATGCTTTCAAGGACAAACCAAGACAGCTGGACCAGTTCTATTTAGACGTGAGTCATTTTCTAGTGCAAAAAAGTACGTAATCAGATGTCATGAAAGATTAACAGAGAACAATTGTATGGGATGGCATCATCTTATTCAAGTAGGCGAAAGGCAGCATCTGCTGCTTTGGCTATGATTGGGTGAAAGCAAGATATGCATGCACACCCAGAAACGGCAAGCATACTTTTGAAAACGAATGTATTTTTGGAAGGGCTACAAATAATGAAAAGAAAGTTGCTCGTCGTACTGCTGACTCTTGCAGACTGGACTATTGGCTGCATTTTGCTATATTCCTTTGCTGCACCCACCCAACTATCACCCCACCGTAGTTCACAATTCTGCCAGCTTACACAAGGGTGGAGGGACCTGGTGTCACAGATCTTGGAGGTGTGTGCTATTAGTGAGGGACTGAGAGGACGCTCGGCGGCATAGCAAACATGATTTGATAGCAGACGGCAAAAAACTATACGAAAACTCAACAATCAGTAAAAACTAGTGAAAACCTCATAAGTGCACTCAAGAAATATACGAAAATAACATTACACAATTCTCAGTACTTGCCAACGTTTCTAGGTAATATTTGGTTTGCAAACTGGCTGGGAAAGGCGGCCAGGTTTTGTCATCGTTGAGAGAAGTAATGCTGGTGTAGCATTAAGATTGGGTGAGATGTAGTACGAAGGGCGACGCTTGCCTCAGCAATGGGCATGTACTTGCATTGTTGGTGCTCGCGCATCAATCATGCATGCATTCTAAGGTCTCACACGTTCCGCAAACGCACGAGCTCTTTGCTGTGATCGTGCATACATATTAATAGAGGTACTGCGAATTGTCAGCCTGGATTCTCGGCAGTGCCCAGGAGCAGCGCACTGAGCTGTTGTTCTGGGCATACTTTGGCGGTGCCAAGTCCCGTCATGGGATATTTCTTCATTGGAAGTTCTCTGTGTGTTCAGGGGCTTTAAAACCAAGTTTTGGCAAAACATTGATCTGATTGAACCCTTCTTGACGTGCTTTGGGGCTGTGATGAGACAAGGGTTAGTTGTCCCGTTCATCTTTGTTGATGCAGTGGACTTGAGACGACGATGTAGAAAAAGAAACAAAGACAGGCGCTGCTGTGTTGGAGATGATCTTTGGGATGAACGTATGCCAACTCACTCACACTCCCACTCTTATGCAGTTTGTCTTGTTCACAATGACGACTCTGCTGCAAATAACTAGAGTTGAAACTATGATCGATATGACTATAAGCCACTTGCTGCTGTATTGCCTTCAGAAATTTAGACGATCGGGTGTTTACTGTGGAGTGACATTGCACAGTACACGACCCTCTTGCACATCTATCGATCAAATCCGTGGCTTTGTGAGTAGCCGGGCAGCGTAGCCTCTGCAATTAGTGACAAGTGTGAAACAGCCATTTTTAGAAGGAATATAAAGTTGATGTTACCGTCCCTGTATAAATAACTTTAGTATTTGTGTATTTATTCATGTTATTTAGTATGAAAACAGGACATTAGACGAGAATTAAATAAGCCCAGAAAGGTCGGTTAAAATGTTTCAGAAAGGTACCGTAATTTCTCGAATCTAACGCGCACCTTTTTTATGGTTAGGCGAGTTCATAAAGCGCATGCGCGTTAGAACCGAGTACGAAAAAAAATGAATGCGGTCATTCTATTGCCATTAGCATTTTCAAAATGGCCACCCCCTACGTGCGTCGGCATGGCGCGTTGGCCATTTCTGCCTATGTGTTTCCTATGTGCAGCACTTCGTACGTGTGCTGAGGAAGTTCGTCATCTTGTAGTGCATTTGCATCGACGGCATGGAAGGGCCGACTCCAAAAACTTGAGTGCACCACGATACCACTTTTAAAAGAAAAGTAATCGCATGTGCAGAACCGGACGGAAATCGGGTCGCATGGCGGTCGTTCGGAGTTCCTGAAACGTGCGTGCAGGACTGGCGGAAACAAAACCAGAAGATTGTCGACAGCAAAGCTTCAGGCAAAGGCTTCAGTGGACCACAGCAGAGTCGGTTTTCGCAAATTGAAGAGCTGCTCAGCGAGTATGTGCTTGAGCAGCGAGCGGCACAGCGCCCGGGACAACAGAACTGCACTAAATTTGAGCTATGCAGTTAGCCTTAGAAAAAGGGCTAATGCGGAGCCAGTTTAAAGCGAGCAGGTGCTGGCTGACAAACTTTATGAAGAGGAAAGGCTTTTCCCTCCGAATGTGAACAGGTATATGCGAAAAGTTTTGCGGAGGAGTACCATGAAAAGCTTCACAGTTTTCAGAGGTTCGTCCTAAACTTGCGGCACAATGGCTACCTGCTTGGGCAAATCGGGAGTGCCGATCAGATGCCTCTTTACTTCGACATGCCTGGCACCACAACCGTCGAGAAGAAGGGGGCGAAGCAAGTTCGCATGCTGACATCGAGCCACGGTAAAACAAGAGTGACGGCAATGCTCCGTTGCACGTCAGATAGGCACAAGTTTCCCCCGTACCTCATATTTAAATGGAAGACGCTCCCGAAAGGAGTTAATTTTTCGAGTGGTGTGATCGTGCGAGCCAGCGAGAAAAATGGGTGAGCGTTGCAATCGATGTCTTACCTTTTTTTTTTTCGTTGTGGAAATCGGGTGCGCGTTACAATCGAGGGCGCAGTAGAATCGAGTAAGTACGGTACTCTTTCCTTTTTTGGTAGAATACTGAAGATTCCTTGCCCATGCAAGGGTGGTTATATGCATGAATAGTACATGCAAGTATCTACGTTGCCCAAAATTCATGATCATTTAATACACAGAGCATCAGTTGTATTGTAACACATAGTGTCGTTAGATAATTTGTTCTGTTGGAAGTTATCAAACGGTAAAATGAAGTGTTTTAAACGTTTACTCAACCAAATGGCTGCAGCTGGAAGCTTTAAGATAGCATACAACAATAAACCTGCTGTGTGCAGAAAAGAACTGTATTTAAGGAACATGGTAGTTTAACCTAAATAATTTTATCATGTTTAAATAAACTCCCTGGCCAAGTATTACGTACAGAGAGCAAACAAGAATGTGGGACCCCAATGTCCATTGCTGGTTTAACCGCCACAGTTCACTAAAGTCTTTCTCAATTACCAGTTACATCTGCATAGAAATACTAGCTGGGGCTTTCTGCTCGTGTGTTACATTTTAAATTTTATTAGACCTCGAATGAGTTGTGGGGCTTTTTTTATTTTATCTGCAATATTACCACATGTAGTTTTTGTGCACATGGAATGAATGAATTTAGGTTTCACATATACTCATATACAGCTAAAGAAGGTCGATATGTATTGTAAAGGGCACATGCTATAGGTACACATCATTTATAGGCATATTATCAAAAAATTTACAAGAAGGATAATTTCTTTCTGGTCAATGATTGGGAGCAAGCTAAAAAAAAATTAGAGCCTTTTCACAGCTGGAGTTGAGTGAGGGAAGCATCTGGGAGGAATGGGTGGTTTTGTATCCACATAATTGTTCAGAAAGTATGATTGCTTATTGTGTAGTTAATAAATCCACGTTCTTAAAGTGAAGTAGCTGCTCTTACTACATGAGCTCCCACCAATCATACCTCGAATAAGCCTATCAGAATTAAAGTTTTTATACATCTGTGCCAGTTTTACCCTTACTTCGGGGCAGTAGATCTTTTGAAATATTTATAAAGTATTCAGGTTTACAGATGACGGCTGTTTAATGGGAGGATACAACCAAAGAAAGCCATGTTCTATTTTAATATTGCAATTTTCGAATACTCACATACACACCCCAAAAATTTATCACAGAAAATAATGTGCCCGATGCATTCTCTTTCACGAAATCGAAGGAAAATGACGAGATATTTTTTTTAAATGCGAAGCATTTCTTGGTGAACTTCGGTGACTTTGAGCATATCTATCTGTCTGTCTGTCTATCTGTTTGTCTGTCTGCCTGCCTGCCTGCCTGCCTGCCTGCCTGCCTGCTTGCCTGCCTGCCTGCCTGCCTACCTACCTACCTACCTACCTACCTACCTACCTACCTACCTACCTACCTACCTACCTACCTACCTGCCTGCCTGCCTGCCTGCCTGCCTACCTACCCACCCACTTACCCACCTACCTACCTACTACCTACCTACCTGCCTACCTACCTACCTACCTACCTACCTACCTACCTACCTACCTACCTACCCACCCACCCACCCACCCACCTACCTACCTACCTACCTACCTACCTACCTACCTACCTACCTACCTACCTACCTACCTACCAATGCAGCGATGGCTTAGTGGTTAGAGCATCAGCCTCACGTGCAAAAGGCCCATGGTTCGAATCCCAGTGCCACGGAGTTCCGAACAGGATTAATAAGGAAAAAAATCTGCGCGGTGATGGAACTACAATAAGAGGCCTGGGGTGTGGCCTCACCGGTGACCACCGCCAGTAATGCACTTCCTCACCAGAGAAGGATTGGCCGCCCTGGTGCAGTATCTGGCCACTACCTCTCACATGCATATGTAAATTAACACATGGCCCTCAGTTCTCAGTGGCAGCGAAGCAACTGACCACAGCGGCGGTCAGATCTGCAACACAGTAGAGGGTGCTAAGAATCTCTGGGTCTGGACAGGCCGACGTTGGAACCTGAACTTCGCAACATTTAATGCTAAAACCTTATCTAGTAAGGCAAGTCTAGCTGTACTATTCGAGGAGCTAGAGGGTGTTAAATGGCATGTAATAGGGCTCAGTGAGGTTAGGAGGACAGATGGTACAGTGCTACAGAATGGGCACGTCCTGTGCTATTGTGACTTGGCTGACAGAAGAGAACTGGGAGTGGGATTCTTTATTCACAGAAACATAGCTGGCAACATAAAGGAATACTATAGCATTAATGAAAGGGTAGTAGGTATTGTAATGAAATTCAATAAGGGTACACAGGCTTACGCGCCTACGTCTAGCCATGATGACGCTTCAGTTGAAAGCTTCTATGAAGACGAGGAATCTGCAATGAGTATTTATTTATTT